GTTTTTCAACTGTTTCAGTCATATTAATTATGTCTTTTTTTATTTTTTAGGGTTTTTATTTTTTTTAAATGAAAATTTAAATATTTAATTATGTTATACATATCAGTAATTAATGATTCTCAAAATAAATTTCTGATAATTTGCGTTTTAATTCCTTAAGTATTTGTTCTTTTGTTTCTACAATGTCAGTCTTAATCTTATTAATTAAACCTTTTCTTTTTAATTATTTAACAAACTGAAATTAAATCTCGTTAAAGCACCTACTATTGTATTATTTTTTAAAATTGGTTCCATATTACCAAAACCATAAATTGAAACGCATAACATAAACTCATCAACAAGTCCATCTGTCCATAGTGCATTTCTTCTATGGTTAATTTTTAAAGAGACTCCTTGACTTTTTTCTTTAACATATTTTTGAATGTACTCCACAAAATTTAAATGATTTTTCAATTGAGGAAATTTGTAAGTACAATATTTCATTGTTTCATAACTTAATGTATTTAGGATTTCTAACGGCACATGTGAAAGAAGAAATGAATTTCTTTTTAATGTACTTGCGTCTAATCCAAAATAATAAATTAGTTTAATAAATTCATTTGTAACAGTAGGAGTATCAAAATAAGTATTCGTTCTTATAGATTCATTTTTAATAATTATAGTAATAAAGTCAATGAGTTTTGTTCGTTCATGAATTAAGTTTGTTACTGTATTTGTTTCTTGAAAATTTTCTACAGTTGTTTTATAGGATTGATCAACTTTGATAATTTTGTATTTTGTTAAATCATTTGATGTATCAAGTTGTTTTTGTAGTATTTCATAAGGATAATCTAAAGTCACTGAAAATGAATTTGTTTTTCTGGTTTTGTCAATTGATGGGTTTTGGATAGTAGGAGGTAATACATTATTTGTTGCTGGCATAGTTACTTGTCTTAACATTACATTTGACTTACTTTTTGTTGAGGGTTGGGTTAAATTAACATTTCTATTACCTGTTATAAGTCTTAAAGAATCTGATTTTTTATATACATCATTATTATTTGGTGGAATTGTTATTGAGGTAGTTCTTTTTGTTGGAACTCTTAAAGGTAATGGAATTGATAATAAACTATCATCTATTTTTTTAAGTTTATTAGTAGGTGAAAGATAAAATTGTTTTTGTTTAATAGAAGAGTCTACTGTAAGTTGAGGATTAGTATTAATTCTTTTATCTCTTTGTGAAGTAATATCTGTAGCAGAATGATTATGGCCATGTATTTTCATGGTGTTATTATATAACTTTTTTGTTGGTGGTTGTTTCAGAATACTTCTGCTTAAACTATTTGTTAGTATTTGTTTCACAATACTATGACCTGAATTCTCTGTTGGTAATTTTTTCATATTGTTATTACCTAAATTTTCTTTTGGTGGTAGTACTTTAGTAATAGGAGGTAATAAAGAAGTGTTTGGTTTTGATTCATTAGTTCTAAATAAATTAATTGGATTTAGTTTCTGAGAATTATTCTTTTTATAAAGAAGATTTATATAAAATTCTGTTTGAGATTTATATCTCTTTTCATCAAAAGGAAATTTAGATTTAATCCTATCAACAATGTCACTAAGAACAAAAAGACTATTCTCTTTAAAACCTGATTCTCTGTTTATTAAATTATTTAATTCTATTGGACTTTGTAAATATGAAATTTCGTCATTAATTCGTTGAAATATTTTCATCATTTCAATAGAATCAAATCTCTTGAGAGTAATTTCTTTTGTTTTTACATATTGAAGATAATCATTATAATCTTTTTTTTTAAAGATAAATGAATATCCATAGAATGATTTATCAGGAATTAACTCAATACTAAGTGTGTTTCTATTTAATCCTAAAGAATTTTTTAGCCAAGAAGTAGGTTCTTTATAACTACCATATTTAATAAATAAATCAACATTTTCAAAGCCATAAAAAAGTACAGATTCAAAATCAATAACTAATGTACCACTTTTTTCTTTTTTAAAATCAGATGCATTTTGTTTATTAGTTAATGTTTTATGTAATGAAATAATAAAGTTATGAGGAATGTCTTCAATCAGATTTGATGATGACACAATAATAATTTTTTTATCATTAAACAATTGAAAGAGTGTATCAAGAAAGTAACGAGATGATGATGGAAGAGTATTTGGACAAACGGAGTTATTTCCAATATATGATGAAGATTCATTTAATAAAGAAATAATATCAGATTGACTAAATTCTTTTTCATAATTTAAAATAGTCTTTATTTCTATTTCTTGATGATATGCAATAGGAATAATAATTGTAATTAAAGGACTTATACAAAATGAATCAACGTCAGTTGGAGGGAGTAAGTTCTTTGTATTTAATAAACAATTCCAATAAATAATACCACTTGTAGTATAAAATGTTTCTTCAGGTATTCCACATTGAAAGACTATATCAAATTTCATTAGCCATTCTCTTGGTATTAAATTACTATATTCAAATATTGCAATGTCACAATAAGGAACAAAATCATTTGTAAATATTGATTTAGTAATAAAATAACTAGAAGAGTTCATTGAAAATGGATCAGTAGATAATGTTGAATGAATATTAATTGGAATATAACTATCTTGAATACGAGAATTTTTATTAAAGTATTGATAATAACTCTTATATAATTCTGAAGAACATAAAACAGCAATTGGTTGGTTATGATGATAAAATCGTAATAATTGAAGAAAATGATTTATGAATTGTGACCCATTGTCTACTTTACTTTCAAGATAGCACTTTTTTGTTTTTTGTAATTGTTTAATAACGAATTTATCAAATTTTTGTGTTATAGAACATAGGTTGTGTGGTAATACTAATTCTTTTGCCTTTTCATAACCAGATAACTCCATTCGTTTTAAATATAATTTTAATTGAGAATCAAATTCTTTCTGAACCACAACAGATGATTTAAACTCAGAAATAACTGAATCTTTTTCACGTAAAATAGTATTATACCCAACAACTTTATTTTCAATAAGGACTGTATCAATAATTCTTATTTTTTTTATAGAAGAATCTAATAGAGGTTGTTGAGAATTTGGTTGTTTTGTCAAAAGAGGGTTTGATATGATTTGTGAAGAAAATACATAAAACTCTTTTACATTTCCTTCTATTGGAGAAATACTTACTAGAAAAATATCTTCATTAATATTTTCTTTTTTATGCATTATAATACAACCAGTATAAATGTCTAATACATTCACAACATTATCTAAAAAACTAAGATCAACTTTTTTGATAACTCTATCAATCTTAATCATAAAAATAAAGATTGAAGATTTATTTTTATCAATTTTTTTTATAAAAAAAACTCAAATTTTTTGTTTCCTTTTTTTGAATAATAAATAATTTAATTATAATAAATTAGTATTTTTTTATAATTTTACACTTTTCTTTTAAAAAACAATTTCATTCAATTTAAATATTATTTTTGTTATTGTATCATCTAAGTTGTTGATTCTTTCTAATCGTTCAATACATTCTTGTTTTATTTCAAATAATTTCATTAATAAATGTTCATCACTAATATTAGTTGGTTCAATTTTTTCTTTTAATTGTCCACCAAGTTTTTTAGCATGAGCAAGAATAACCAAATGGTTTTTAAAATCATCTAATTCTAATTCAACAAGATATTTATTAAGAAAATTATGTTTTTCATCTGTTTCAAAGATTTTATCATCAAATATATTAGAATAATCCAATTCATCTTTTATAAAACATAATTTTTTCCAATCAGATATAAGACTCATTTTATTTAATCCATTAACAAATGCTTTTAATTTTAATAAAACAATATTTATATCATCCTGTCCATATTTTTTATAAGATTTAATCATAACTTCTTTTATATCTTCGTGATTTTGATTAATCTCAAAACGATACATTAAATGTTCTTGAATAAAATCATTATTATCAATATATTTTATATTTCCTACATATTTTCCTGTAGGATTTGCTCCTCTTTGAAGAAGAGATTTAATAAGAAGATTATTATTTTCATTATACATTGCAATATCAAGAGCAGTTTCACCATAAATTGTTTTAACATTAATTTGTTCCAAAGATAAATGCATTAAATTAAAAATCATTTGTTTATAAATCTTTGAAAATTTACTTTTAGTTAACAAATGTAATGCCGTTTTATTTTCGATTCTAGTTTGAGCTGCTATAAGATTATTAATCCCACAAGTTAATAAAAATAATGTACATTCCAAATTATTATTTTCTATTGAATACATTAAAGGAGTAAAACCAAGCATATTTTGTTTAACAATATAAATTGTAGGTGAATATGAATTTATTAATCCTACAATTTGTTTAAGAATATTAACATGACAATTTTTACTTGCTATATGAAGTAATGTATCACCTGTTGTAATATCAAAATACTCTAAAATAGCTCTATGATTTGAACTAACTAAATCATTAAATAATAAATCATCTCCTTGCTCAACTGTTCTTTTAATAAACATATTTAGAAATGGTTCTTTTGTTAATTTCTTTTCAAATTCATTTAATTCTTCTCCTCCAATATCATCAACTTCTTTTTTTGAAATAGGAAATTTATGAGTATATTCATTTCCTTCTTTTTCAATTTCATTTTGTTTAATAACACCAATACCTTTAGAATTAGAATTAATTGAAGTCATTAAATTATTATTTTTTAGATATTTTAATTAAAAATTTATATTAATAAAAAACATATGAAAGAAAAGAAATAATTTTATTAATTAAATTGTACATGTTATTTACTCACAACAGCTTCAATCTTCATTGTTTTCTTCCAAAATGAATGATATTTTTTCCAAAGGTTTTCAACATCTCCTTTTGCTTTATTAATTTTCTTTTTATCTTCTTTACTTATTTCTTTATTTCTTGTTGGTTCAACATTAATACTTTTCTCAAATAATTTATCTTCATTTTCTTCAAATTCAAATTGTTCAATAAGTTCTTTTAGATTTTTACAATAATAAAAAGGAAATGAAGTTTCTTGTTTCATTACAATTTCTCTTAACATTGAACCATATGTTCTAACACGGAAGAAATTAACTAATTTTAATTGTCCATTTTCACTTTTTTCATTTTCTTTAGTAAAAACCAAATCTCCTAATGTAGAACCTAAAAATGGAATACACGGTGGTTCACATATTGCAGTAATTTCTCTTAATTTTTTAAAGTTTGATTCATAATTAACTATTGACTGAAATTCAGTAAGTAATTTAATTGATTCTTCACTTAATCCATCTTTAGTATCTTTTAATCGATAAATTGGTGATGAATCTAAGGCTGCAAGTATAGCTTTAAATCCATCAAAATTATTTAATTTCTTTAAGTATTCTGCAACTTTAATGAAAAATTCAATAGCAAATATTCGATGTTTTAATTTTACAAATGAAAGAATAATATTTTGAACAATATATGATATTTTGTTAGTTAATTGCATCATTGCAACAATATTTGGAGTAAGTGTTTTATTATCTTTTTTTGTCCACATTTGACTTAACAATTCATCAACTGTTATTCTTCTAAATTTATCAAATTGCATTAAAGTTATTTGTTGTGCAACATCTTTAATAGAAAATGAAAATATTGGTTGTTCTTCAATAAAATCTTTCATATATTTTGCTTCATTTCCTAATGTAAATTCTCTAATATGTGTTTGTGTCTTTTTTTCTTGTTTATCAATGAAATCTTTCATAAATTTTGCCATTTTTGGTTTAAAGGTTTCATACATTCCAATAAGTAATTCTAACGTTGTTCTCATATCAATATCATCAAAATCGCTAAATCTCCAATTAACCCATGACCTAATAAATCCCATAACTTTCATTCTAATTGGTGATAATTTAGAACTAACAAATTCATCCCAATTCATTCCTTCTGGTCTTTGAGGATTAAATCGTTTTACTAATAATCCAATAAGTTCTTCTTTAGTCATTACTGTTGGATAACCAAAAACAAGACATTCAGCAAAATAAGGATCTTGAAAATCTTTTGATGTTATTACTTGAATCATTTTTGGTAATGTAGCTGTTTGAATAATAGGAAAATCCCATCCCTTTTCTTTTGTAAATGTAATAAATTCTGGAGAATCTGGTTGTTCAAATATATTACTATTATCATCTGCTTGATATGTACTTTCATCAATAAAAAGTGTAGTATCACTCATACCTGAAAATGTTGAACGTGCAATACTAGACCCCATAGTACCTGGAAGTTTTGAAACATCAGCATTAAGACTTACAGAACATCGTTTTCTATTTGGAATCGAACTTCCAACTAAAAATTTTTGAACAGATTTAAAATTTGGAATTGCTTCTTTATGACATAAATCAATCAAGAACGCTACTGTTAATGGACTTTTACAAACAGGACACTCAGAATGGTCTTTAACACTCATTGAAAAACATTCAGCACAAATACTTTGTTTACATCGTGGACATTCAGTATTAACTTTATATTTATGTGGACATCCGCTCATTCTTATTGTTTAGATTGATGTTATAATATTAAGTTTCATTTCTAAGATTTACTATTAATTCGTTTATTTTTTATTTTTTTTTTTGAAATTGTATATTTTTATTAGATTTTTACTGTTTATCTCCTTTTTTCCTTTTAATTTTCTCTTTCTTCTATTTAATACTTTTTATTATTTTTTATGATTTATAAAAAAAGATAAAACAAAAAAATGTGTGTAGATTAGTTTCAAAAAGTATAATGATAGAAAAGAATCATAACAATATCTTATACCCCAAAAGAGTTTTAATCGGTCCCATGGTATGAATGGTCCTTCAGGGTTTATATTGACAAACCTATTATCTCGACTTTTTGTGATTCTAATTTTTGTTTTAAAACACTATGTAACAAGAGATTGTAATTTTTGATTATTTATTACAGACTCTTGTAAAAACTTATCAACCATTACACAAAGTAATGATTCATAGTTATGTCAAAACAAATATTTTTTACATAATCATTTTCATTATTAATATTACTTGTAATCATATGTATTTTAAATTGGCATGAAGTTGGTGCTTCTGAACATGAACATTTTGTTCCAATTACTTTTCTATGGAATTTAGTACATCCAACCTACGTCCCACTTCGTTCTTCTATTAGTGGAATATTTAGAATACAAAATACAATTTGTCTAATATTTTTTTAAGCAAAGAAGAATCACTTCGTTTTTATCTTTTCCATTTCTTCATGAAAATTCTCAAATGAGTCATATTTCAATTCCGGTTGAAGTGGAAGAAATGTGTTTTCAATTTCAATAAATTGAGTGTTTCTAGTGTCTTGATATTTTAATAATTTTATTCCTTTTAAATTTGTAACTTGAAACCATTTTTCTATTATAACTTTGGTTGAGTAATTAAACAAAAGAATTTGGGAACTAGACGTTGGTGATTTATCTAAAATCCTCAATCTTTATTGGGTCTTTAAGATTTATTTTATTTGTTGAACCAACAGATAAAATAGAGCATTTTATGGTTTCTTACTTTCCTTAAATTTAGATATATGTCTGTAAGTCAGATATGTTAATTTGTAATTTCATATTTTCTTGGAAGACAGAACAAAAAAAAAGAAATAAATTCATGTACTAAATTCCCATTTCAATCCTAATTTTATATCTTTCTTCTTTATGATCAATAATACACACTCTCTTATCTTCGTCGTTCATTGTTGACTTTTCAACTCAAACTACAATACTTTCTTTTATTTTTTTCCTGTTGAAATAAATCAACTTATTTGTAAGTGACATCTTGAAATTCTCAATAAAAAATATTTTAATAGGAAAAATACTGTAACTCCTTTTTATTTGGACAGTTATTAAGAAAATATGTTATTTATCAATGGCATTTCGTTTTTCTGATTTGTAAATTCTATAAAAATGCAAAAGTTCTAATTATTATTTTTTATAAATATTTTAAAGAATAGGAAAAGTCTTTTTCAATACAACTATAGAAAGTGAAGTAGAATTGAGTTAATGTTAATATAATAAATAAAATAATAAAGATGTTGTAATGATAATGAATTATTTAATTTAAATGAAGTGAAATATAATTTTCATTCTTGTTCTTATTATTCTTTTATATTCTTTTATTGTATTTTATTATTATCTTCTTTTTCATTTGAACAATAAAATAAAATGAATGTAGTCATTTATTCTTTATTTATTACTCTTTATTTTTATTTTGGTTTGTATGTTTATTTGATGTCGTGTGTTAACAAGTATTGAATAATTAACTGATGAATAACATTTGAATCTATTGTTTTCATGATGTTTTTCATGTGATTTATTATTTCTTCTCATTAATTTATTCTTATTCATTATTTGTTGAAATGAGATGTTTGAAATGAATTAATAATTGTATCAATTAAATTATACATCATCACTTATTGATATTTAAATGTATTTGCCGATTTCAAATTCAGAATGATTTACATATTGAATTGATGAATGTGTATTTTATTAATTAAATTCATATTGTTC